CCTGATCATTTCTTTATGCCCAAGACATTGGCTGCTTGAGAGGTTACTTCTGCCTTGACACCTTTTTCCCTTCTTTTCCCATCTTTATGACCATTCCAATCTTGCTCATCTTCTTTGCCTGGTCAGGGCTCTTTAATGATATGTGACATGTTGTAGCAGTACATCTTCCATGGTTCCTGAGTCCATTTGTTTCTTCTGTGAAATCTTATACTCACCTCTCCTGTGACTTTTATCCCCTTACCCTTTTGGGTTGAATTTGCCAAGCTTTTTCCTTATATTTCTCATGATGATTGTCTCCTTTTTCATGTTTTCTTCCCATTAAATCCATCACCAGCACATTTCCATCTTCTCTTGGGGGATGTCATCAGTGCTCTAGCTGTTTACCTGTGGGTGGTATGTACTCTGTTCATTATCTTTTCCTTTGCAGGGGCCTTTATCATATATTTGGATCCTGCTCTGTGGCGAGCATTGCCTGACCAGGTATATTTAGTCTTAAATCTGCACTGTATGACCTGTGATCATATACAATTCTAGATGACTGTGATTTTGCAGCTCTTCCTACCATGGACCTGATGTGCAATTACAGATGCCGCCAGGTTTTGGTTGATCGACTCTGTCAGTGGGTCCTTTGTGCATTGAAATCCAATATCCTAACACTTCACAAGGTCATGTTACAACCAACGTTTAGGTCGGGTGTTCCACAGGACCATTTATAGGTATCCTTCGCGGTCTGTTGCTTCATAAATATGTTTGTCCTGGATGGTACTCTCATGAACTAGCACGAGTATAGCAAACAGGGATTACTGCCCATATCTCATGATGTTTGGCACTGAGGCTCTTCCTACTGTGGACTAAATGTACAATTCTAGACACTGCCAGGTGCTCTGCTCAAGGTCATTCCGGACTATTTAACACATTTTGTTTCCCTCCTTATAGTGGAGTATGGGAGTCCTTGCCACTTACTAGTTTCTAGCCACTGGGGTAGTGGACCATGGAGACCTGTCCTCCTGAGTGTACACAATACCACTCATCTGAAAGTAGGGTGGTGGCATTCTGCTGGTGTAAATGGTGTGATGCCCTTTCTACTGCAGACCTAACTTCCTGTTTCAGCAACTTTCTTGATCTTCTATAATTTTCTGAATCTCCTGTCATACCAGTCAATTTAAATTTTCTCTCTTAAACTCTTTGTGAGTCATCCTGGTTTTTTTACTTTCAGCTACTGTTTTATTTCTATAAGGAATATGTTTACCTTGAATATTTAAAAATTTAGCTTTAAAAATTTTCCACATCTGATCAGTGTCTCCAAATAACTCAGCTGCCAAATTCACAACAGATAATACTTGTCACATCCCTTCAAAATTTGGTTTTTTGAAATTTGTAACCAAAATATCATTGTTCCTTATCTCCATATGCATCAAAACATTGAACCTTATAGAGCAATGATCACTTGCACTCAGATGTTCCTCATTTTCCACCCTCTCAATCATTTCTGTATTTGAAGTTAACAGTAAGTCCTCACATGTATTTTGTTTGAATGATACCTTCCTCTTACTACAGACTGGATGATAAGTTCTCAGTACCTCCAGGTTTTGGACTGGAGATGCAACCCCAAATAGCGGTCCCTCTTCCTACCATCTGCTGCATGTCACTTCCCGGTGGATCTGGTGTTGGTTGTATCTGGACAATACACATGAATTCCCACATGTAAAGGTACTCTCCTCCTACCGCAGACTGGATGATAAATACTCAATGCCACCAGGTTTTGTATCAGAGAGGAACACTCATCTGGGCTCTCCACCATCCTACCATCTGCCAGATGTCAGTTTCTGGTGAATCTGGTGTTGGTTATGTTGGAGATGTGTGGGTGGATACTTAGAATGGAAGCTCCTCTTCCCTGCTGGTACATATTTTTGAGTAGAAAGGTAGAGAACCCTCTTCCTACCACGGACCTGATGTACAATTCCAGATATTGCCAGGTGTTGGTTGAGGTCAAACTTTCATTAACGGTCTGTCATGCCTTAGCCCTTTCTTACTGAAATTTTTGGGGGCCCATATATGTTTCTACCTTTTATGTCTTGGCAACACATTTCTGAAGAACGAAGATTATACCTGGCTTAGAAGTGATGCGGTCTTCCATTGGTGCACTGTTTTTAATTCCTTACCATATTTCATGGTTTTTCTTTGGGTGCTTCCTAAAGGGGGCTCATCTTCTCACCAGTACCCTACTAGTTCAATGTGGGATTCTAGCTTTTTATGAGAGGAGGTAAGATATAGTATCTGAAGCTAACATTTTCTTAAACTGAAAATGTATTTTCAATAGATACCTACCTCTTCTCACATTTCCCACCCGTCCTCCCCACTTCTGGTGTGGTTTGGTGTTATCTGACCTATCTCAAAGTGGCGAACAGCTGCAAGATTAGAGAAGGAGCTGTTTACGATAGGGGTAGTTTCACACTCCTATTGGTGGAGGGTTGTTACATAATAATTTACATGTTAGAAATTAGTGAGAGTATAAAGACTAGTTGCAAGCAAACATTTGTGCAGATAAAGGGTAGTGTAAGTCGCAAAAGTTTTAAGTGAGATGAGGAAAGTATCCGTTAAATAGATTTTCAGTTTAGGAAAATGTTAAGTTTCAATTGAGACAGATTCCTTTTGAAATACTAACATACTGGATATATATACATGTTTTTATGGTGCATTTGTTGCTAAAGCATGTATTGCTTTAATTATTTTATTCAATAGGCAGTTTCTGCCTGTATTGTCTAGAATAGCATTTGTTTATTTATCTTTGTGTTTTGAAAGCATTTTCTATTTTTGTTTCAATATTACGAATAGATATTTCTAATGTTAGAAAGTTTTTAGTGCTTGTTAGGTTAATTAATTCTTTAGAATTTGGCCTGAATATTTCAAGTAGTAACCAGAATAAATGCACTTCATTAATTATAAATTTTGAAATTACATCAAGTGTTGTTAAAAATTTATTATAATCAGTGTTATATTGGAGAAAAGCCTACCTTTACAAGCCAGTACTTATGATTAAGACTTCTGAATAATAGACAGTAATTTATTGAATTTGGTATGTTGTTTTGCTTGTTTCGGGATCACTATTTATCAGAAGTATTTGTGTTATAATAAGCTAAAACAAAAGTCATTCAAATACCACTCTGGCTAAAATGAATGATCTGGTTTATAATGTACTAAAATCATTCCAATGTATTGAAGTACTACTTATTAATTATAGTATGGGTACTACTAAAAGTTTGTCCCAGATCCAGTTGTGCACCTAAAAGTTAGTCTTTTGATCTTGGCTTTAATTTGTTGCTATGGGCTTAAAACATTTTTATAGTTAATGGGAAAGAATATTTATTTTTTGTTTTAGAAAATACCCAAATTACTAGAATCACATGGTACTAGTTCAGTTTTTATACTCGGCACAAATTTTTAACACTGACACATGGTACTAGTTCAGTTTTTATACTCGGCACAAATTATTAACACCGACACATGGTTCAATTTCATATTTTTATATGAATATTTAGGATTTAAAAAATTGTGTGTTTAAAAAGTAAATTACAGCAGTATAGTAGGACTACAGGGATGGAGGGAGGCCAACTTGCCTGACAGTACGTGTAACTCGAAGTTATGCAGTTTATAATCATGTTAAATCACTGTATTGCTGTCTGATATCTAGTTGTTTATCAAAGGTGGCAAAAGCATGAAATTTATGGTAATTTTGGTAGTTTTCTGAATTTCTTAATATATGTATTGACATTCACTTTAGTTCCTTCTCAACCTTGAAAAGCTCTTGATATTACCCTATTTTACGGATGAATATAACCAGGGTTGTTTTTATTTCAGTGCACCTATAAGTTAATCTGTCAGTACCTGTTCGGAATGGTTTTTAATTTGTATTATCTTGTATTATCCAGACAAATATTCTTTTGTATCAACTACAAACAATGTTTAAAATGAAATAATTGTGTTGCAAAAGAAAGTAGATTACAGCTGAGACTGAATTTCTGTATTATCCCTTCATTACCACATAAAATTTTGAAATGGTATTAAATACATAATGTACTTTGTAAATAATTACCTAAAACCATCTATGTAAATATTCTTTTTCAAAAAGCAAGTACTTTATCAATAAATATATTTGTTTTTACATTCAGGTTATTTTTTTACAACCTTATGATAACACTGATACAGAAGAAACAGAAAATTTACCAAGATTTTATTGTCGGTGGAAATATAATGGATTTCATTTTGAACCAGTGAAGGAGTTTGAAGTGACTAAAACAAAAGTCAAAATTAACACTCGTAATGTTAAAAGTAAGTCTACTAATGGACGTCTGGAACAATATAACTATCAACATGCAGCATTACCTCTCGTGGAGAAAGAGATTTTGGAGGATAGTCGAGATCATTCTCCTGAAATAGAACTGCAAGGTATGAATTCATGTTTTTATGTTTTTGGGAAGTTGACAGTATAGTAAAAAATGTTAATGTGAAATCATAAAACATTTTCATCAATTACATACACACACACAATATTGTTTTTTTTTAGAAATTTTTAATGTGAAATATAATACCTTATGTCTTCTGTTGCTTTCAGTAAGTAGTAGACTTTTTATGTTTCATTTCTCTTTTCTCTCTCTCTCTCTACTATTATCAGTTCTTAGCCTTGTATAAATTTAATTTCATCCTAGTGAGAATTTTTAATAGATTTTATCTCATTTTCTGTGTTGTTAAAATATGTAGTTTATTCACCTCCAATTTCATTGTACAAATGTTATTTAGCTTTCACAGTATACTTAACTAATCTTATGTGGCAAATTTTTTCTTGTCAATTATTTCATTATTGTCACACTTTGAGCTGCTGTACTTTGAGGCTTGTTTGATCTGGTTAATGGTTTTCATTAAATTAGACAGATTTTTTCTTTCTTATTTTTTAGCCTGTTTGTTTGAAATGATTTTATTTGTTTGCATTCTAGATTCTTTACATAGTTCTCAGAAGTTAAACGCTCTTTCTAAGATGGGTGTAGTGACACCCACTTCTGAACTCAGATAAGCTCACTGTCAGTTATGCCTTTCTGTTCAAGACATTTAACACATAATTAATATTACCATGTCAGTTACCCACATTTTTTAAAAGGAATCAGGGGACTTATTGTGGTGGTGGTAGATTATAGTTTCTTTGTAATTCTTTGTTTGAAGTGGTTTGCTTGGAGGAGGGAAGAAGAGTACATTTAGTTTCAGATCAAAGTTTCTTTTTAATTCTTTGTTGGGAGTGTACTGACTGAAATAGTCAGGAATTTCACCCTTCCATTATTATTTTAGAATATATATATATATTTATTCAGAAATATTTAATTTCATCTTTCCATAATTAGTTTAGAATATATATTGTTACGTATCTGCTCGTTTGATAATTTCCTTAATTTCCGGTATAAATTCTTTCCGAGGAACTTCAGCTATACAGGTCCTTTCTTAATTAAAA